TGCACTGATCCTACGATATAATTTGCGGAAGGAGATGCATCCAAGCGACAATTATAGGAGATGGAATGGATAGAAGAAAGAAATAAAACCAGAAAAAAAACACATTGTACCATATCTTAAGTTCGGAAATAAAACCGGAGCTTAGGTTCATATAACCGAGTACAAATGATAAAACACATCGTACCATTCAATTAAGCTGGGGATTACACCAACATTTTTTTCATGCCTTAAATGTCATTGCCATCATTGGTGTTTATAAGTTTTTATTATATGATAAGATATATACGGATATACCGATATCATACCAAAGTAATTCGGTATTGTATCATACCATACCGAAAATGTTGATATACCTAAATCTTCGATAAATCCGATATAGTGCGATATGATAAATGCAGTATACCGAAATTTCTTTATTTTGCCCTAGCTCTAGAATAAACTGATCGATCAAATTGTTCCCACAAATTAGAACCGCCAAAAGTAATTGACGCTTCAAAATCTGAAGACCTATGCCAAGAACCTGCTTACATGAAAAAGTTAATGAAGATATTAGGTGGCCATTTAGTTATTTTAAATTTTCACATATCGACCTTATCAATTACATTTTACATCACATTTTTGAGGGGTTCATTCAACACTTATTCGAACTATTACTCAAGAGGCAATTAGAGCGTTTGTTTCAGCTGATGGGGATAGAGGTATACAAAAGAGAGTTTCCTCGTTTGTGCAATGGATCACTCGACTAAATGCAGTAAGGATGTTTTTACTTGGACTATAATTTGCCCCAAACCACACCAGTCCAGACCAGACCAGACCAGTTCAGACCAGACCAGACCAGACTTGGATAATTATACAAATACAAAGAAACCAGACCTTACCAGACCAGACCAGACCAGACCAGTTCAGACCAGACCAGACCAGCAACTTACAATCCAAGTAAAAACATCCTAAGTCGTGAAAAAAGAGTATCCTATAGTTATAGTAAATTTATACATGATTTGTACCATAACCAATTAATACACAAATTAACACAAGACATTTTTACAATTTAGATTTTTAAGTGGTGCTATTACGCCCCGTGTTGTTAAGAAATATTTGAATTTATATTTAAATTTAACACATACCCAATTCGGCCATCGTTTCTGAGGATGTTTTTACTTGGACTGTAATTTGCTGGTCTGGTATGGTCTGGTCTGAACTGGTCTGGTCTGGTAAGGTCTGGTTTCTTTGTATTTTTATAACTATCCAAGCCTGGTCTGGTCTGGTCTGGACTGGTCTGATCTGGTCTGGTCTGGGACAAATTACAGTCCAAGTAAAAACATCCTGAGTCATAGATCAATTGAACACATGTCCAACCATTTTAACATGCTAATCCATTTATTTTAAATGAAGTGTTTACAAGTGTCAACATTTTAATTCAAACATACATTATTTGGGCCAGCATCTTAGTTCAAGCATGTTTTAGAAAATGGTTCTTTACTTGGGCCGGCATCTTAATTCAAGCATTATTTTTTAAAAGTTGATGTGTGTAGTTGGGCCGGTATTTTAATTCTAGCTCTCCAAATATCTATTTACTTAACAATAAAGCACAACTTTATCACTTTCCCTTTTTAATAATAATAAAGTAAAAATTGTATGGTTGAGAGTTTTCTAGAGGGGAAAAATTATCTGAAACACAAATTCCTTACTAAAAAGGGACAGTGACAAAGTTAGTGAGATAATATAAAAAGAAAAGTTGACAAAGTTTTAAGGGACAGAGGGAGTAATCGTTAATTATATTTTTTGAAACAAACTTTATTTCAGTAACATTTTTGAAAAAAATTAAATGTAGTTGGATTTGATAGGTTCCTTTGCTAGGTTTGTTGGATAATATAACTTTGGGGCATGAAGATGTGACATAATTATTAAAAAAGTGAGTTTATGTGATTGATATTGAATTCATAAATAAACATAATTTTATATGATTGATTCATACAAATTTTACCAAATTTTATATGAGATAACCTTTGTAAGATTTCTCGAAAAAGAAAAATGGTGCAAGTACTACCTTCGTTCCGTTTAAAGGTTTCCATGACAAAATGACACGATTATTTAGACAATAATTAAATATGCTAATTCGAATATATTTTGAGAAATAATTTTGATGAGCATATAATGTAATGAGTTTTTTTTGTAAATCTCCCTAATCCATTATAGTATCTGTTCTGTTAAGCCCAACATCCTTGAACTGGAATGAGATTCGAACTTGTGACTTCCTCTTTGAAAGTGTCACAGTGATGCCATCAGACCACAAAGTACTTGACATATAATGTAATGGGTTATTGATGATAACTGTAAAGTTATAAATGCATAATTTTTAATATTTATGATTAAATTTTTATTTAAGAGTGTTAATTATTTCCTAAAATAGAAAATGTGAATCTTTAAGTGGGACGTCCAAAAAATAAAAGTGAGAATTTTTAAAGAAAGAATGACAAGCGTACTACTTGCAGCTTATGAATTTTAAAAAATAAGACATGAATCCCGGATAGACAAAAAAGAGACCTATTTAGGCATGAAATGACAGAGTTACCCTCCATTAGGCATGGCCTCGGTTCGGGCCGCCCGGCCCGGGACCGGCCCGACCCGCTACTGTGCGGGCCCGGCCCGGCCCGGTTATCCGGGTCCGGGTCCGGTTCGGGCCGGAGGCCCGGGGGTGGGGCGGTTCCGGGCTCGGTTCATGGTTTTGACGGCCCGGCCCGGCCGGTTCAGGCCCGGGTCCGGGCCAAATCTATTTTTTTTTTAATTTTTTTCATTTGTTTTGGGCTGTTGGGCTTGGGCTATCTGTTTAGGCCGGTTTGGGGGGGTTTGGGGGGTGGGGGTGGGGGGGGTGGGGGAAGAAAGGAAAAAAAAAATTAAACCGGGTGGCCCGACCGGCCCGGCCCGGCCCGGAACCGGACCCGGAACCGGTGGCCACCGGTTCGGGCTCGGGCCCAACAAAACAGACCCGAGGCCCGGCCGGGCCTAGGCCCGAACCGGGCCCGAACCGGCCCGGGTCCATCCATACCCTCCATATAAAACGAAAAAAATGGCATATTTCCAACCTAACGTATCCGCTCTATCCTCTTTCTATTCGCCTGGGTCTGTCGGGGTTCTCAGCCACCGCCACCGTCCGCATCTCGAATGTCGCCAACTCGCTACCATCTCCATCTCGAGCAGTCTCCGCCTCGACTGAAGCAAGTCGCCAACGCTGAAGCATTGCATGTCGGAAATTTCGTCCCGCGCAGCCACCGCAGGTTCACACCTTCACCGTCCGCCACCGCAGCTCCGCCACTTCGCCGAGCACCACCATAGCAGCTCCGCCGCTCGCCTTCTTTTTCATCTCTTTTTGTCTTTCTGTCTCGCGTGGTGGATGGAGAATCTGAGGAGATATTCATCGGTGAATTTCTTTCTCGTTTTGGGATCCAGAACGTCGTGTGGCGTTTAGGGTTGGGGATGGTCTAGGTCCAGAAGGTGGTGTTGGGGCTGGGGATTGTGACAGCTAGGGTGGGTCACGGGCGAGGTGTGGTGGGTGATTGCTGGAGTCTACTAGGGCTGGGTTGTTGGTCAGCGGAAGGGACATGATAGGCGGTGGCACGGTGGTGGTCACCGGTGGTGATGGAGCGAAATAGGTAGTGTAACTAAATGGGTCGGGTAACTGTAACTGGATGGATCAGGTAATTGTAATTGGATGAGCCGGGTGGTCACTGCCCGGGTGGTAAACGGGCAGTTGTAACGGACTGATTTTTAATTTTTGGTCACTGTCGGGTTTTGGACTTTTGGTCACTGGCGGTTTTTTGGTTACTGGCGAATTTTGGTCATTGATGGATTTTGGTCACTGTCGGATTTCGGTCATTGATGGATTTTGTAACTATGTCATTGGTAACTGTAACATTGGTCACTGCACATTTGATCATTGTGGCGGGTTACTGTGGCAAGCCAATGAATTTGGACTTAGGCAGTGTTTTCCATTGCTTTTTTAAAGCACTTATCAGCTTTTCAATTGGAAAAAGCACAAAAAAGTGTTTGCAAAGATAAAATTCTGCTTATTTGGAAGTGCTTTTGGGCTAAAAGCTGAAGCAGCAATATACATGCTTTTAATAGCTTCTTGGTATTTTGGTAAATATTTCAAACTTTATGGATATTTATTAGGTTGAATATTTCTATTAAACCCAAGTTACCCTTCCTTGATCCTCCGAACTCCGACCTGCCTTTCCATTTTCCCTGTCAACTTCTTCATTACCCAAACCTCACCAGTCATGCCCCATCCTTCTTCTGGTATATACACACATACGATAGTATATAGATAAATATAAATACACATACATATTCTTTTTCAATCCCATAGAATTTGAACTGGAATCAAGAGGAGAACAACGAAGCTCTCAGATCTCCCCACCGCTGAAAAATCGTATGCCGCCATTGGAGGCCAAGCTCGAGCCTCACTCGCTGCCGGAAATTCCAGAAAGATTGTCGGATCGGCACAATATTGTCGCTGCACCTAAATTGGCTATTGCGATAAAGCCATAGAGGCGCCGCTGGTCAACTTCGGACAGGGGTGAAGGATGATGTGTGGTAGCTTTCAAAAAATATACTCCGAGAGTCCGAGTAGTATTTAATTAATGCAAGGGCTTTTTAGTATTTTAAAAGAAATTCATATCAACAATCACTTTTTTATCAAACACATCAACTTTTACCTTACAATTAAAATCTCTTCTATTTACAAACACTACCTACTTTTACTACAAATCACTTTTCCAATAATCACTTAAATAAATCACTTTTGAAAAGCACAAGCAAACGCAAACATAGCCTTAGTAAGGGTGTAATAGTTCCTTAAGTATTATTTAGTCTTATTTTTAGAACTTAAAAGAAAAATCACTTTTTTGTCCAAATGCTTTAGATTAGTATTATTTGAGGACAAACACCATTTTTAAATGGTACCGAGAGAGTATAATTTTAGTGAAGGAAATATAAATATATGAGAAAAGCAATAAATAATATTTGCGATAGCACCTGTAAACAGAAAGAAAAAAGAAACAAAAATAATGGATCGAAAGAGAGACCGACACTCTCAATACCGCCGTGCTCCTTACTCCTTCCCTAAACGGCGTCGTCCTCTTCCACCGCCGGCATATGATGAGGCCAGCACCGTTGCAGCAGAGGACGATCTTTTGCCGGAAACTTCCCCGGCTTCTTCCAAACTACCGACGACGGTGGTTATTATTGGGGTTCCGGCAGAGTGTTCTGTCTTAGACCTAAAGTCTCGGTTTGAGATCTACGGCTCAATCTCTCGCACCCGAATGGACCCCACTGGGCTCGGATACATCACCTTCCGGTCCAAAGATTCTGCAGAGTCCGCCATGTCTGCTTCTGCTGACGCCACTTTCCCCATTATCCTTCATTCCAAACCAGTAAGCTCATTTACCCCCAATTCATTGTTCGTTAGTTTCCCTGGATATATGCCTTAGCGTCGATGAGCTAATTAGAAAATATCAATTTCGGAATCCCTAGTTAACTAGAGCAAATCAAAGCAGAGGCGGATAAATTTTCTAAATTTGGTAATTTATTGTAAAAAGTAGTTTGCCCCCAATGAAAATTTTGAGTTGCCCCAATCATTTTCATATTCATTTACCCCAGTGCCGCAAAGGCTGCTTCATAACAAAGAAGCGCAGACAGTTTAAATCTCCATCAACAATTTTTTACTACAAGAAAAATCATTTGAGTTATTATAAGTATGTTACTTGTTCAAATTAAGATTACTTGAACCAAAATGTTCATTCATTTTTTTTTTGTAGATGAAGGAATCAACTGTTAATTAATAATATTAAGAAAGCATTTTAGATTTTCTAAGCTAGTTATGAAGATGAGCAAACTAGTCATGTAAAAGTATTACTCCCTCTACCTCATAATTTCTTTCCTATTTTCTTTTTTTAATGTCTAAATTCTTTTATCCTCGTTTTCTATTCTTTTTGGGTTTCTTTTGAAATAATTTGTGTAGTTAATATTCATCTTTCTTTGTCTACATTAATTAAGTCATACATTTTAACTTTAGTAATAAGTTTGTCATCATTGTTAGAAGCTATTTAGGAACGGGTAGTATTTGACAATTTAGACCTTTTAAGCACACATTATCGATTATTTAGCACTAAAATCTTGAAAACTGATAAGGTTTGTACAAAGTATAAAATTATTTAGTTATTTAGTGAATTGATTATGGTAATAATCTTGTATTTAAACTTCAGAATGTCAAATTGCATTAATTAAATTCCAAATATCATGTTTATAATTTTAGGCTCTGTTTGCAAGTGATTGTACTTAAATAAAAGCACTTCTTGAGAAAAAGTGATTAGTAGTAAAAGTTGATAGTGTTTGGTAAAATAAGTGCTTTTTGTGTGATAGAAAAAGTAAAAAGTAGATTCTACACGAAAACCGAGAAAGTAAAAGTTGGTATTGTTTGGTAAAACAAGTGCTTTTTTCTTAAAAAAAAGCCAAAAGCACTTAAATTAATTGTTTGCAAACAAAGCCTTATACGGTTAGAACAAGGGGGCTTGAGCCTTTTGTTTTGCGTGTACACATACAAATACATACTTATGGTCTCAAAAAGTAATTCAAATATAAAATTTTGACTACTGATATATCTATCCAAATTTTGTTCCTCTTAATAAATTGTTTTTTGATCTTTGAATCAACTTATGCCCCCAATAATTTCATCTTCTGGATCCGCTACTGTTATAGCAAAGCAATTGATGATAGCCAATTAGAGCAATTTAGTATATGATCAAGATGGATAAGTAATTAGAGAAAAGCAATTTTGAAAACTTTCAGTTGAGCATAATGTCTTTAAGCTTAGTGACTTTAAGCATATGTATATATTTATTCAATTGACTATTCATTATATTTATTTACTGAAGTATCCTTTATGGCTAGTTTGATACTTGGACGGGAAGAAATAAAGGAGGGGTGGGGGGGAAGAAAATAGGCCTTTTATTATGAATATTACTGTATAGAGGCCTAAAGACCAAAAAGTGACTTTAAAAATGAAATTCCAATAATGTGACTACTAGCATGCATGTACACGTGAGCTGGAATTATGAAAACTACCATTTGTGGATGAAGTCTAGCAACGGTTTGCATGCTACAAAATCGGGGCATTTAATGCATTTTCAATCTTGTAACTGAAAGCAAAAATGATTGAATTTTCAGTTATTAAACATATTCATTTTGTGACATGACTGATTGTGTGCGGTTCCAAAATTCAGTTTCGTCGCATAACAGAGGGAGTGTAGTCACGGCAGATTGTTTCTTTTGAGTTATGGTCACTATACCCAATGTGTGGCGCAATTACTTTGTTACTCACGGGTTGTAGTGATTTGTAGTAATAGTGACTGTCATACAAAAACTTCTAGTAAGTAGTAACTAACTAGTAACTATGTTGGCGGTAATAGTGACTGTCATACCAAAACTCCTAATAGTAATCGTCCAGTGACTGCCAATGACCACTTGCCACTCCAGTGACTGTCGCCTCTAGCATTGTCCATGCAGTGACTACCGCCCTCCATGCCTCACCAGCCCCAACCCCACTTCTCCAACCCTCATTCCCCAACACATTCCCCAGGCCCCTCTCCATCCCCCTCCCCATCCATGGCCTTGCAGACCCACAAACCCACACATACCCCTACAACCGTCATATCCCACCCCATCTGCTGAAAATAGGGTCATCAACCGCCGGTCCGCGCTGCCTCATTTGTCGTCGTCGTCATCTTCATAGCCGATGATGCCAATCTTAGTCGCATACTCGCATGCACACGATAGAAAGAGAAGAGGATGAGCAACGGAGGGATTCGTGGCGATGGGAAAGGGATGGGCGGCAAAAGGGCGACGGATGATGTGTGGCAGTAGGGCGGCGAGGGCGGCATGTGCGTGGTGACGGCGGCTTGTGCGTGGCTACTGGTTTCTTGAGGCAGTAGATCTGGTTCTCCAAATGCTTGTAACGGTTGATGCGCGCAGCAAGAATGGAGGATATGTTTGGGCTATTAATGTATATCCTTGTCCATTAATTATTAGGTAGCAATTGATAAGTTTATTGTCCTATTTTAAATGTGATCATATTCTTGTCCACTAGAACTCTAGAGGTAATATCCCAGCCATTATTTCAAGAAAATATGGAAAATAAAGAAGTTCAAATTCTCCAATTTGGGTAATTTGAACGATGGATGAATAACAGAGGAAATAGCAATACCTAACTGGAAGGTGAGAAGATTTCTTTCCATGGTTTAGGAATTCCAGCACTTGGGAAGCAGAAGCTCTTCCACATGCCAAAATACGGATTATGGAATAAGTATGAAAAATGCTTAAATGATGAAATCAGCAAGGAAACGGGAAACAATTTATTATACCAAATGAGAACATTTCTGGGTTCTGATCTCTCCTTTTACCAAAGCTGCATAAAATCTTATCTTTTCATGTTAATTTTCTAAAAAGTGACAGGTCTTTTTGAGTGTTTTTCTTTTTACATTATCCATTGACTAATTTTTTGTTGTTTAATTTTTTATTTATTTATTTGGGTGATGTTAGGTGCAAGTAATGTGGGCAAGTGATCCATTGCCAGAGCAGAAGGAAGGGGCGTCTAAGAGAGAAGGAACATTGGCAGTTTCCTCTAAGTTGGTTAGAGCAGAAGTGCCTCTAAGTAGGCATGGGAGAGGTAACAGGCTGGGTTCAGATATTGTGAACCCCAAAGATGACAACAAAACGAATAGTAATAATACTTATAAGAAACGAGGTGGGATTGCCTCCAGGTTAGGGGATCCATTCAAGGGCAGGGAGCTCGTTGCCTATGATGATATTCTTTGATTTAGAATCGTATATGTGAGGAATTTTTAGAATGTAAAATTAGTGTGGTTCTTATGATTATTATCAGCAATGTTGTTTTTAAGTTAATACTGAAATTTTTGTAAAAAACACCATAATCTGATAACTTATAGAAGGATATTACAAAAATTTCAGTATTAACTTAAAAACAACATTGCTGATAATAATCATAAGAACCACACTAATTTTACATTCTAAAAATTCCTCACATATACGATTCTAAATCAAAGAATATCATCATAGGCAACGAGCTCCCTGCCCTTGAATGGATCCCCTAACCTGGAGGCAATCCCACCTCGTTTCTTATAAGTATTATTATTACTATTCGTTTTGTTGTCATCTTTGGGGTTCACAATATCTGAACCCAGCCTGTTACCTCTCCCATGCCTACTTAGAGGCACTTCTGCTCTAACCAACTTAGAGGAAACTGCCAATGTTCCTTCTCTCTTAGACGCCCCTTCCTTCTGCTCTGGCAATGGATCACTTGCCCACATTACTTGCACCTAACATCACCCAAATAAATAAATAAAAAATTAAACAACAAAAAATTAGTCAATGGATAATGTAAAAAGAAAAACACTCAAAAAGACCTGTCACTTTTTAGAAAATTAACATGAAAAGATAAGATTTTATGCAGCTTTGGTAAAAGGAGAGATCAGAACCCAGAAATGTTCTCATTTGGTATAATAAATTGTTTCCCGTTTCCTTGCTGATTTCATCATTTAAGCATTTTTCATACTTATTCCATAATCCGTATTTTGGCATGTGGAAGAGCTTCTGCTTCCCAAGTGCTGGAATTCCTAAACCATGGAAAGAAATCTTCTCACCTTCCAGTTAGGTATTGCTATTTCCTCTGTTATTCATCCATCGTTCAAATTACCCAAATTGGAGAATTTGAACTTCTTTATTTTCCATATTTTCTTGAAATAATGGCTGGGATATTACCTCTAGAGTTCTAGTGGACAAGAATATGATCACATTTAAAATAGGACAATAAACTTATCAATTGCTACCTAATAATTAATGGACAAGGATATACATTAATAGCCCAAACATATCCTCCATTCTTGCTGCGCGCATCAACCGTTACAAGCATTTGGAGAACCAGATCTACTGCCTCAAGAAACCAGTAGCCACGCACAAGCCGCCGTCACCACGCACATGCCGCCCTCGCCGCCCTACTGCCACACATCATCCGTCGCCCTTTTGCCGCCCATCCCTTTCCCATCGCCACGAATCCCTCCGTTGCTCATCCTCTTCTCTTTCTATCGTGTGCATGCGAGTATGCGACTAAGATTGGCATCATCGGCTATGAAGATGACGACGACGACAAATGAGGCAGCGCGGACCGGCGGTTGATGACCCTATTTTCAGCAGGTGGGGTGGGATATGACGGTTGTAGGGGTATGTGTGGGTTTGTGGGTCTGCAAGGCCATGGATGGGGAGGGGGATGGAGAGGGGCCTGGGGAATGTGTTGGGGAATGAGGGTTGGAGAAGTGGGGTTGGGGCTGGTGAGGCATGGAGGGCGGTAGTCACTGCATGGACAATGCTAGAGGCGACAGTCACTGGAGTGGCAAGTGGTCATTGGCAGTCACTGGACGATTACTATTAGGAGTTTTGGTATGACAGTCACTATTACCGCCAACATAGTTACTAGTTAGTTACTACTTACTAGAAGTTTTTGTATGACAGTCACTATTACTACAAATCACTACAACCCGTGAGTAACAAAGTAATTGCGCCACACATTGGGTATAGTGACCATAACTCAAAAGAAACAATCTGCCGTGACTACACTCCCTCTGTTATGCGACGAAACTGAATTTTGGAACCGCACACAATCAGTCATGTCACAAAATGAATATGTTTAATAACTGAAAATTCAATCATTTTTGCTTTCAGTTACAAGATTGAAAATGCATTAAATGCCCCGATTTTGTAGCATGCAAACCGTTGCTAGACTTCATCCACAAATGGTAGTTTTCATAATTCCAGCTCACGTGTACATGCATGCTAGTAGTCACATTATTGGAATTTCATTTTTAAAGTCACTTTTTGGTCTTTAGGCCTCTATACAGTAATATTCATAATAAAAGGCCTATTTTCTTCCCCCCCACCCCTCCTTTATTTCTTCCCGTCCAAGTATCAAACTAGCCATAAAGGATACTTCAGTAAATAAATATAATGAATAGTCAATTGAATAAATATATACATATGCTTAAAGTCACTAAGCTTAAAGACATTATGCTCAACTGAAAGTTTTCAAAATTGCTTTTCTCTAATTACTTATCCATCTTGATCATATACTAAATTGCTCTAATTGGCTATCATCAATTGCTTTGCTATAACAGTAGCGGATCCAGAAGATGAAATTATTGGGGGCATAAGTTGATTCAAAGATCAAAAAACAATTTATTAAGAGGAACAAAATTTGGATAGATATATCAGTAGTCAAAATTTTATATTTGAATTACTTTTTGAGACCATAAGTATGTATTTGTATGTGTACACGCAAAACAAAAGGCTCAAGCCCCCTTGTTCTAACCGTATAAGGCTTTGTTTGCAAACAATTAATTTAAGTGCTTTTGGCTTTTTTTAAGAAAAAAGCACTTGTTTTACCAAACAATACCAACTTTTACTTTCTCGGTTTTCGTGTAGAATCTACTTTTTACTTTTTCTATCACACAAAAAGCACTTATTTTACCAAACACTATCAACTTTTACTACTAATCACTTTTTCTCAAGAAGTGCTTTTATTTAAGTACAATCACTTGCAAACAGAGCCTAAAATTATAAACATGATATTTGGAATTTAATTAATGCAATTTGACATTCTGAAGTTTAAATACAAGATTATTACCATAATCAATTCACTAAATAACTAAATAATTTTATACTTTGTACAAACCTTATCAGTTTTCAAGATTTTAGTGCTAAATAATCGATAATGTGTGCTTAAAAGGTCTAAATTGTCAAATACTACCCGTTCCTAAATAGCTTCTAACAATGATGACAAACTTATTACTAAAGTTAAAATGTATGACTTAATTAATGTAGACAAAGAAAGATGAATATTAACTACACAAATTATTTCAAAAGAAACCCAAAAAGAATAGAAAACGAGGATAAAAGAATTTAGACATTAAAAAAAGAAAATAGGAAAGAAATTATGAGGTAGAGGGAGTAATACTTTTACATGACTAGTTTGCTCATCTTCATAACTAGCTTAGAAAATCTAAAATGCTTTCTTAATATTATTAATTAACAGTTGATTCCTTCATCTACAAAAAAAAAATGAATGAACATTTTGGTTCAAGTAATCTTAATTTGAACAAGTAACATACTTATAATAACTCAAATGATTTTTCTTGTAGTAAAAAATTGTTGATGGAGATTTAAACTGTCTGCGCTTCTTTGTTATGAAGCAGCCTTTGCGGCACTGGGGTAAATGAATATGAAAATGATTGGGGCAACTCAAAATTTTCATTGGGGGCAAACTACTTTTTACAATAAATTACCAAATTTAGAAAATTTATCCGCCTCTGCTTTGATTTGCTCTAGTTAACTAGGGATTCCGAAATTGATATTTTCTAATTAGCTCATCGACGCTAAGGCATATATCCAGGGAAACTAACGAACAATGAATTGGGGGTAAATGAGCTTACTGGTTTGGAATGAAGGATAATGGGGAAAGTGGCGTCAGCAGAAGCAGACATGGCGGACTCTGCAGAATCTTTGGACCGGAAGGTGATGTATCCGAGCCCAGTGGGGTCCATTCGGGTGCGAGAGATTGAGCCGTAGATCTCAAACCGAGACTTTAGGTCTAAGACAGAACACTCTGCCGGAACCCCAATAATAACCACCGTCGTCGGTAGTTTGGAAGAAGCCGGGGAAGTTTCCGGCAAAAGATCGTCCTCTGCTGCAACGGTGCTGGCCTCATCATATGCCGGCGGTGGAAGAGGACGACGCCGTTTAGGGAAGGAGTAAGGAGCACGGCGGTATTGAGAGTGTCGGTCTCTCTTTCGATCCATTATTTTTGTTTCTTTTTTCTTTCTGTTTACAGGTGCTATCGCAAATATTATTTATTGCTTTTCTCATATATTTATATTTCCTTCACTAAAATTATACTCTCTCGGTACCATTTAAAAATGGTGTTTGTCCTCAAATAATACTAATCTAAAGCATTTGGACAAAAAAGTGATTTTTCTTTTAAGTTCTAAAAATAAGACTAAATAATACTTAAGGAACTATTACACCCTTACTAAGGCTATGTTTGCGTTTGCTTGTGCTTTTCAAAAGTGATTTATTTAAGTGATTATTGGAAAAGTGATTTGTAGTAAAAGTAGGTAGTGTTTGTAAATAGAAGAGATTTTAATTGTAAGGTAAAAGTTGATGTGTTTGATAAAAAAGTGATTGTTGATATGAATTTCTTTTAAAATACTAAAAAGCCCTTGCATTAATTAAATACTACTCGGACTCTCGGAGTATATTTTTTGAAAGCTACCACACATCATCCTTCACCCCTGTCCGAAGTTGACCAGCGGCGCCTCTATGGCTTTATCGCAATAGCCAATTTAGGTGCAGCGACAATATTGTGCCGATCCGACAATCTTTCTGGAATTTCCGGCAGCGAGTGAGGCTCGAGCTTGGCCTCCAATGGCGGCATACGATTTTTCAGCGGTGGGGAGATCTGAGAGCTTCGTTGTTCTCCTCTTGATTCCAGTTCAAATTCTATGGGATTGAAAAAGAATATGTATGTGTATTTATATTTATCTATATACTATCGTATGTGTGTATATACCAGAAGAAGGATGGGGCATGACTGGTGAGGTTTGGGTAATGAAGAAGTTGACAGGGAAAATGGAAAGGCAGGTCGGAGTTCGGAGGATCAAGGAAGGGTAACTTGGGTTTAATAGAAATATTCAACCTAATAAATATCCATAAAGTTTGAAATATTTACCAAAATACCAAGAAGCTATTAAAAGCATGTATATTGCTGCTTCAGCTTTTAGCCCAAAAGCACTTCCAAATAAGCAGAATTTTATCTTTGCAAACACTTTTTTGTGCTTTTTCCAATTGAAAAGCTGATAAGTGCTTTAAAAAAGCAATGGAAAACACTGCCTAAGTCCAAATTCATTGGCTTGCCACAGTAACCCGCCACAATGATCAAATGTGCAGTGACCAATGTTACAGTTACCAATGACATAGTTACAAAATCCATCAATGACCGAAATCCGACAGTGACCAAAATCCATCAATGACCAAAATTCGCCAGTAACCAAAAAACCGCCAGTGACCAAAAGTCCAAAACCCGACAGTGACCAAAAATTAAAAATCAGTCCGTTACAACTGCCCGTTTACCACCCGGGCAGTGACCACCCGGCTCATCCAATTACAATTACCTGATCCATCCAGTTACAGTTACCCGACCCATTTAGTTACACTACCTATTTCGCTCCATCACCACCGGTGACCACCACCGTGCCACCGCCTATCATGTCCCTTCCGCTGACCAACAACCCAGCCCTAGTAGACTCCAGCAATCACCCACCACACCTCGCCCGTGACCCACCCTAGCTGTCACAATCCCCAGCCCCAACACCACCTTCTGGACCTAGACCATCCCCAACCCTAAACGCCACACGACGTTCTGGATCCCAAAACGAGAAAGAAATTCACCGATGAATATCTCCTCAGATTCTCCATCCACCACGCGAGACAGAAAGACAAAAAGAGATGAAAAAGAAGGCGAGCGGCGGAGCTGCTATGGTGGTGCTCGGCGAAGTGGCGGAGCTGCGGTGGCGGACGGTGAAGGTGTGAACCTGCGGTGGCTGCGCGGGACGAAATTTCCGACATGCAATGCTTCAGCGTTGGCGACTTGCTTCAGTCGAGGCGGAGACTGCTCGAGATGGAGATGGTAGCGAGTTGGCGACATTCGAGATGCGGACGGTGGCGGTGGCTGAGAACCCCGACAGACCCAGGCGAATAGAAACCCGGGCCCAGTTCTCCTGGAAAGAAACTTATTCAAGTTTGCTTTCTCCATTACTATCATCTTTGGAGGATAGGATGGTGGCATGGGCTGAAATTTTCAATAATCCCCCCCCCCCCCCGCCCCTCCAGTATCAATCTAACAATCTTCAACCCTATTGTGTCAACAGATAGTAATTTCTCTTCAAGGAATTGAACTTCTTGAAAGTTTATGGCTCGCTCTCCCTACTTGATAGTTGATACCACCATCATCCGGTGAAAGGGTGTGAGCCGACTCATGTTTACTCCAGTCTCCCCTAGCTCCCCGACCCCCGGCTAAAAAATAAGGTGTGAGCCACCTACTCAATATATACCTTAAGTTCCTTCGCCCATCATGGAGAAAATACTTGTGCAGGTAAATGTACTTTCAAAAATTCTCTTTTCCCAAATAACTTTGAAAATGGCTAGTCGTCCTTATTCGTAAATCTTGAACAAGGAAACCGTCATTGAGGAAATCCCATCTTTGCATATCTCCTTTTCAAACACAAAACAGAGCTAATTTGTGTTATTGCACCATAAAAGGGATAACCATCGTTGTGGATGTAAATTTTCATCTCCACATGTCTCCTTCCCCCTTACCACTTGTTATGATTAGTCTAAGTACGTAATCCATGTGGCATATCATGAATAGTCAATGTAGTCTATATGGCAAATGTATAATTGAATAGTTTGGGGCTGGGCCTTCGTTAGTTAGGAGTTCGTATAACGTGGGATCATCCCACGGTGAGCACCATGCTCCTTGTCTAAAACGACGTAGTTTTGATCAATTAAAAAAAATCGCGTGAACAGTACTCACATGTACAGTAACTTGTTTTTTTCTTTTCATCCCAGTAACATAAATGGTGTAACTCCCGTGTAAAGAAATGTAATTCACGTTATTGATCAATGTAACTCAAGTGTAGTCGAAATGTAACTTGTCAAATACATAGTATAAGAAGTAAAACATTGATTTCAATGTAAATAATGAAAAAAAGACTTTAAAAAATGTTACATTGATCAATAATGTGAATTACATTTCAGGGCCATAAAACGTTTTTTATAAATAAAAAAAATCAATGAATATTAGGGGCTTATTGTGTTGTGTAACTCACATTATATTACGATGTAACTCGTATTAAATAATATGTAAATCATGTGCAAGCAGAATGTAACTTGCTGAGGAAAATTGACATGTAACTCAAGCTAATAGATATGTAACTTGATATAAATGGAAATGTAACTTGTTATAATAAAAATGTAACTTTTCCTACATAAATAAAAATAAAACAACATAGAACTACTGACGTTTCAAGAGATCCATGGGAAACCTAAAATCAGTTTTGGCCTAATTAAGTTCAATTCCCCATTCCCTGTCAGGCCTCTTTCCAGCGTGCACATTAGGGACGACGTTGCCGGCCAGTTAGTTTTCAGGTCTCAGCTTCGGCCGGGAGTTAATTAGGATGCCAGAGATGGCTTTCATCTAGTGATGTCCTGTCTCTCACCTTATCATTGATCGATTTAATGGAAACGTGATTCTCAGGTTGTTTATTGGGGAATGAAAGCTGCAGATGATTGCGCATGAGCCTGAGATTTTTCAGGGGATCGGAGGAGCTCTGAAATTGATCGTCGCCATTCAAGTCAGTGGGAAGAGCTCTGCAGATTTTTATTAATTACGGCACCGTTTTGGGATCGGCACACCGTGCGCACGGTGGGCCGATCCCACGGTATAATTTGCGGTTAGTTAGTGTTAACTACTATTAGTTGGACTATTAGTTGGGAGGGTGTACAGAGACGTATAAATAGCCCAGTTGAATACTTTGTACATAGGGGGCGTTTGGTAGGATGTAAAGTAATTACTTTGCATGCGAAGTGTAAGGACGTAAGATGTTTACACTGTTTGGTTTGATTATTTAATGTGAACTGTAGGGCACTTTTTAAAAACATTTCGCACTGTACCATGTAAAGTATTTTACGTGAGGGGAGGGTGGTAAAATACTTTGCATGCCTTTTATGAAGCACTACAACGACTTTGCGTGCAATTTAAAAATAAATAACACATCTAGCCAAACAATGTAACCTATTTTATGTGCAAAATGATTGCATCCCTATACTTTGCGTGCGATCGCTTCACGTGCAAAGATTTAACATTCAATTCATGATAATGCATCCCTGCAATTTAATTCGGCTAACCATTCTAGAACACTTGGATTCTCCCCTAAAATTGAGTTCCCTGTCTTCGATGGAGTATTACCTGGAAGTTTGATACAATTGTTTTTTAGGTATTTTGACTTGTGTAAAGTGGAGCATAATCAGAAAGTTGACCTAGCCTTCTTATACCTAATTGGAAGAGTTGAAGCATGGTTTCATGGATAGGTGTGCTTGATACATGTGCTAGGTTTAATGAAGAAATGGGTGGGGATCTATGGTAGAAGAATTCAACAAACTGCAGCAAAGTAATTCACTAGATGATTATATGATAGGTTTGAGAGTTTAAAAGTCCTAATGTTACAAAGAAGCTAGAGATTGTCAGATGATTTTTTTTCTTGGACAGTTTTATAGGGGGTCTCAATCCTACTATAAAACATTTTGTTAAGGCCTTTAAACCAAGAACTCTATTGCAAGTCATGGAGTATGTCCTCTTGCAAGAAAATAGCTTGAAAGCTCTAAAGAAAGTGGGAAGAAATTATGCTGACAGACCTACATTCAGAAATGGATAAAGTCAAGTTAATTATGGGTATAAACCTATGCCTATCCCTCCATCCAAACTTCCTAGGCTAAATAAGCAAAGTATAAAAGATAAGTTTCCAATTTCTATCATTGATGAACTGTTAGATGAATTACACAGGTCCAATGTATTCTCTAAAATAGATTTGACATGAGAATGCTACACAACTTATTCTCGGGGAATTGACAAAAAATGGATGAGAATGCTATCCCGAAGAACTAAAGGAGTTTTACTCAAAACATGAAATTCATGTATTGGAATTGAATTCTAAATATATGGTTGGTCATTGCCCATAAGAAACTACACTTGAGCATCATCATCACTTTGATATTTTCAATGAGGCAATAGACTTTATATTGATGAAGATC